CTGGACTGTTCTTTCTTTTGGTACATGGAAGAAATTAAACATGTTCCCAGGTGCCTAAGTAATGTCAAATGACAGACTAGTCACAGAATCAAATTCTTCTCTGCTCTGTGTCCATGCTAAAAGTGTGAATACCAGCATTTGGACAGTTCCTCAAATATCTAACCTGCATCCTTGCCTCCATGGCTTCCTCTGGTGACAGATGTAATGCTATTTGTTTGAGAAATGAGTTATTTTGGGTTAGTTAAAAGGCCTGCAGTGTAGAACCTGTGCACTTTCAGCAACAAACGTGTATACCAAGACCACAGATGGAAAATTGAGCATGTTCAGACCACTTCATGGTAAAAATCAAAGTGCTAAGAAGAGAGTCCTCAGGACTCAGCTACCAGTGACTAATTTAATGGCAATGAGAAAAGTATATGATACCTGTCTCTTAATAGCTATGTAACTTTAGGAAATTCGCTTACTATCTCTGATTTTCAGTTTCTTTATCTGCAAAAGAGAGGAAAAGAATGGCACTTACACTGTCAAATTTGAGAGGGGTTTAATGAGAATGTAATTCTAAGGATAAACAATGTCTTGCTAAAACACATGCTCAATTTATCGTGTTCATGTTGATATTCACTTTTTCCAGTTAAATGTACACCATACACACCGTGTAGGCTTGTCTAGAAAAATGTGCAACAAAATGGCAGATTCATCAACCATATTTAAATTGCAAAAATGTATCAGTTTCTTTACATGACAGAGGGATTGCCATGATGCCATGTAGCATAACACCATGTCAGCAGCTCTCCAAGCACTCAGACCCTAGTGCTTTCAAGACTGGAGGCAGAAAAGGATCTTAGGATCACTGCTGCTCATGATGATTGTTCTGCCTCCTTGCTGTTTGTCTAGAACTGCTTTCACCAAGAGAGGCATTGGCTAGAATTGGATTTTCACAGGCCACTGTAAAGGGACCTTACTGAGTAGCATCCAGTTGCACATACACAGAGAATGCTGCTACCCACCTTGCTCAGGGCACATGGTGCTTCTAGTGCACACTGGCCAGGGCAGAAGAGGTGGTTTTACTCAGCCTTTGTGGCAGGGACCACGGAATATATGCAGAAGCAAATTTTCTGGATTCACTATTCTCACAGGGAAATAAATGGAGCACAAACAGAGCATCATGGAGTACAAAGAACACCAGGGTGTTGCTCCATGTGGGTTCATCAGCATAGAAAAATGTTTCCCAGAAGACAAACAGAAAGAATCCACTCTCCTGCCAAGTTTCTTGGCTCTGATTTGGCCCTTATTTTAATTATCTCCTTTCTCACAACTCTCTCCTTGAAATGGAAATAACTTTGGTGTTGGATATCGTACCATCAGATTAGTTGATTATGAATTACTAATAATAGAGAAATGAGAGGGCTAATGACAAATGTGTTGTGCCATGCCCACTAAATATTTACTGTTGAGTGTAACCATCTACCTGGACGCCTGCCATAAAGCAAGGGATCCACGGGTGCAGCATTCTTTTATCTCTTTGAACACATCTGACTTCACATATGTGCTTTAATGAAGACAATGTTTTCTAAATTCTGGAAAAAATTAGCAGAAATACTCTGGTTATGATATAGTACGATTTTCTTGAATTGATTATGCTATATGCATTAAGAAAGTCAAAATTCTAAAAGTTATTTTCTGCAGCCAACTACTTAGTGCAAAGTGCTGTTAACAGTCCCATTAAATGATAGAAAGATTCCCTAAAGGTGTGTTCAGGGATCCCTGAGATCTGACCTCAATTGTGAGTGGCAGAAGTAAAAGGCAACTGTAATTCCTTTGCTACATACTCCAAGCTAATGAGAATAATGACCAAAAGCATTAAGGCCGCACTGTGCCGGCGGCAGGGTTCCAGGGCAACATGCATCCCCATGACTGGATTAGTCTCAAATCATGAAGAGCCTTGCATACACTATGCAGGCTAATAAGCTGTTCACTTTTTACCTCAAACATCATTAATCTCTCACTTTATCCACGTTTAAAGAACAGCATCGTGAAAGAGAGTCCTTTCCGTAAGAAAGCTCATGTATGGTTAAGGTACCAGAAGATTTTGTTATAAATTTAGTTATTAAAATATGTATATTAATAATAGCAGGTAAATGGTATAAAATAATATTCACATTTTGAAATGTCGAGTAAAATTTTTTTTTAAAACAAATAGACCTGCTACTCAAGGATATAATCTTTACCTTTAGGATCTGCTTTTATTAGAAAAATTAATACACATATGGAATTGTTAAAATATTCATATGTAGTTGCATATCAGGGAATGTGATATAACACATAATGAATAATTTGTCAACATTAGACTTAGATCTCTCTGCTAGTGCTGATGCAGAGAGCTAATTATTTTTAATAATCTGTAGGTCAATGGTTAAATTCAAAGCAATGTATCAAAGTAAAATTAAAGGAACTAAGTTTAGTCAAGTTTATTACCAATACATTCAAGACTTATAATATGGAAAATGACATCTTTGTGAAAACAGAATCAAGTCACTTTTGTTTTATTACCATCTCTGTTTTAAGATATCTGAGCTTATAGCTAATTCATTGTATTTGATTTTCATGCAAAGAATGTATCTATTTTTAGATCTTCCCATCAATCTGCATTGAGACTTCATACTGAGAAAATGATTGTTAAAATATGATACTCTGTATATATAATTTTTCAAGTATAAGCTAAATTTGTAATTTTGATACACTTGCTAACAATAACCTAATGTATTTTGTTTGTATTTACTATTCTGTCATTGAAGTGAAAAAAGTGTATGCTTGCTGTCATTAGGAAAGTTGGCATGAATATAATTTTTATAGCCTTTCCCAAGGCTTTTTAGTTGTAAAGGGTGAATGTCTTCAGTTATTCTCTGAATTAAAAAAAAAAAATCAGCTTCCAACAAATGCCATAAAGCTGGATCAATACAAGGCAGTCTTGACGAGCCTTGGAAAAGATGGGATTTTATTCTTGGCAACAGGAGGAAGGCCATGCTAGAGTTACCATTTTCATGTAAAAATACAAACTACAAGGCTACAAACAATGAAGTTTCCAGTAAGCACAGCCATGATTCCGTAATTGAGGGCTCAATACTATCAAAATGAAGTATTCTTCTCGTTCCCTCCCCCAAAATATTATGATTGAGCTTTTAGACTTAACGTTGAAAAAGCAGACACATGGGACATAGACATTCCTGACAATAGATTATAGGGCATGGATAAGAAAAATGCATTCTACTTAGGAGGCTATGTGACTCCTGAATAATGGACATTTGGGACTTATAATAGCTTTGAATCACCAAGTTAAGGATACATAGTCCCCTAATGGTGTCTTTGCTTCTGTTTTGCTTTTCCACATAAGAATATTATCCACACAGAAGCCAAGGAAATCCTTTTAAAACAAAAATCAGTGCATGTTACTAACTTTTTCTGGGATTTTTCTCAAGTAGTTTTCTCTGCGTGGGTCACTTTTCCTAAGACATGCATATGGTTTCCTATCTCATGCCATTTTGTTCTCTGTTCAGATGTCACCTCAAAAAGGCTATTCCTGAACACACTAAAAGCAAATGTTCTTCTCTAGTGTTTACTCTGCTTTATTTTTCTCAGCACTTTTCAGTGTAAGATATATTAGTATTTATTAATTTGCATGAAAACAGGGCTGTGTCTCTCAGCCACTGTATTCTTAATACTCAGAACAGGGACTAACACATTCTGGATAATTAATAAATATTTGTGAATAAATAAATGAATAGATACTCAGAATGGACCTGTCCAATAACATAAAACTCACCAATAGTACAAGTAAATCTGAAGGTGAATTAGCTGGCTCCTGAATGCTTGGAATTGGGAGAACGTTAGAGAATGTTTCCAATTTATTAGGACAGTCCAAACTGCTTAGGAACTAAGGAACTTAGGAAACTCTGCCAACTTTTCTTTTCCCTAGTCATCTTTCTCATAAGATTTTTAAGAAAATGAAAAAAAGAGCATAAACATGTGAAGACCAGAGCTACCTCACAAAAAATAACTAACTTTGTAAAAGTTTTCTTTTTTTTCTTCTATTGTGTTTTGCCATTGTTATTGCTGTTAGATTGCTAGTTTGTTTTTCATGGTCGTCGTCTTCCCATTTCTGAACTAGTCTGCCCTCATGATAGAAGTAAATTTGTGATCAGTGAATCTCTTCTCCTGAGGATTACTTGCATTTTAAACATTATCTCTCCTTGCAGAAAGAAAGACTTTTACCCCTGTCAAATAATTCCTTGTCATAATTAGACAGCAATCTCCTTGAATGTCCCATTCCTCTCTATATATCCACCTGTTGTAGCACACTGCCTCATACAGAATCTGTGTTCAAGAATATGAGCTTTTGATGTTATTGGATGAGATATTCAAGAGTTAGGTGCAAGGTGTATGTGCTAATAGTTACCGGGATTAGATGGGGAGAGAGGGGGAGAATCTGTTAAAAACAAAACAAAACAAAACACAACACAACAAAACAAAAAACTTCTCAACAGTACATTAGGCCAAAGAACTTTGACTTTGCAAGTGTAGTAAGGTGGACAAGTTGCAGGGTTCAAGGAATTCATTAAATTAAGGTGACTTTTAGGCATCAATGTTAATGCCTGCAAAACTTCAATCTTGAGGATCAAGCTTATTGGGAAAGATATATTTTAAAATATACATAAAAACGTGGAGCACCAAAGCAGATATCAATTTTCTCTTTGTTAAACTTATTCCTGGTTATTATGGCATTTTATTGTCATCACTAGAGAGAAAGAACAAATTATCACTATTGCCATTTGCAGCAAGAGGGAGATTTGATAACCTTGACAAGTTGGATGAAGAAGGGACTTCAGGCAGGGATTGTTTTAAAGGAATGATGTGCTTCCTTACCTACTTTACAGAGGTAGTGTGAGAATTTATAAATATTTGGTCATTAAATGCTCATAAAAATGCTTGTTAAATGCCCACAGAGTCTGCCACAGAAGATGCTTGTTTGAATGCATAGTGGGTGCAGTGCTGTCAGCAAAGAGGCAGATACTCTCTGTGGAAAGGTCAGTTGTACTTTTTGCTTCTTTTTATGCTCATTTTCCTTTTTGTTAAATTAAAAACAGGGGATGCTAATTAAAAAAAGAAACATTTAAAAGCAGAAAGTTTTCAAGAAGAAAATGAACAGAAACTCCAAATCAATTACATATAATTATATATATATATATATATATATATACACACACACACATACATACACACACACAACTATGTGTCCCTAATCTCTATCTCTTCTCCTCGTGTCCATGTTTACACACTCACATATATTCATACGAACTTTGAACATTCTGTCCTATTTTCTCCACGTATCATTCTACAATAAAACAAAAAATATTTAACAGTTTTGTATCTTAACTTTTTACCTATTATGATGATGGCAGATAGTCTTCTAGAACATGATTGTTAGTTAATGCACATCAACCCCTCATGGGAATGTTCTATATTTTGCAAATCTCTATTGGAAACTTGAGCTATTGTCACTTTTTACTCTACAATAAATTTTGATGCAGTAATCATCATTTTACACAAATATTTGCCCATATTTTTTCCTTTATAACATTTTAGATAGATTACTAAAAGTGAAATTGTTGGAGCAAAGAATAAGTTTCTATTAGGGTTTTTGGTAAAATTTGAAAATTACTACACAAAACGTTATTCAAATTCATAGTCCAAGTAAAAAATGTATAAAATTGTTATAAAATTAATTCCCCCAATATTGAAATGTATATATATATGTATGTGTGCGTGTGTGTATTTTAAATCCATTTAAATGTGATGAGTGAAAAATTGATATTACTTTAATTTGCGTCACTGAATACATTAAGGCTGATCTTTCCAATACTTTTTCTGGCATTTGTAAATTTTTCTTATTGACTGACCCCTTCTGTTCTGAGATATTTTTGAAAAGGACTCTTTACAAGGTAGAAATATGTGTTGCAATAATGACTTAGTTTGCTATGTACTTCATAAATTAATTTTTGTTTTTAACCTATAAATTATGGATTGTGCATCTAACACAATGATTTTTGTTGATGTTTTCCTTTGATTTATTTTAATTTTTATCTTTAACATTACATTTAATTTTAATTATATAATAAAAAATGTTTTTCTCACTGTAAGATGCTGAAAAACAAAAATAAAGCAGAAACCCACCTTGACATGTACTTATTCCATCTTTCCATCCTCCCTGCAAATCTCTTTATATCAGCTATTTAGGATATCATTGCAGATATGCTCTAGATATTTAAAAATCTACATATAGATATAAAAATTCATATTCCCTTCTTTTACATTTTAAAATAACTATAATCATGTATCTATTTTGTGCATCACGTTTTACTGAACTACATGTTTTGAATATCTTTGAGCTGATTGGTACATTGGATATCTATGTTCTATGCATATGTATACACATATACACACATGAGTATGTTTAGTAGATATTTTGGAGGGTGTCTTTATTTTCTACATTAGTTTTTTAAATATATGAAATATAAATAAATTGAACAGGATAAAATCTAACAGTATCATTTTCTTATATACATAACCATTTTTAACACCATATTTTGAATAATTAATTGAGTCCCCATTGATGTATAATGCTTTCTTTTTTATTTCAGAATATTACAGGGTACATACGTTTTAGTTATGTGAATTGCTTTTGTACAGTGTGAGTCAAAGTTATAATTGTGTCTGTCACTCATATAGTGTACATTGTATCCATTAATGTGAATTGACCCATCCCCACCTCCCCCTCACACCTGCTTCATTTCCATTGAGTTTTACTACCATATGTGCACATGAGTGTTGATCAATTAGTTCTAATGTGATGCTTTATCATACTTAGATTCTAATAAATTCTGTACTGTAGCTTAAGACTAGTATATTCAATTAATATTTTTTCTGTATTTTGCACCAATTCAACTATCTTTCCATTGTTTTATTTTATAATTACATATCCATGAAAACCTGGCTAATTTATTCATTCACTGTTACTTTCTGTTTCAAAATGATCTGTGTTTTCTTCCAACTCAATTTTCAAATCACTTTTTCCAGTCTCCCTTGTCCTTGTCAGAAAGAATGAAACAATCTAATTTAAATTTTGATTGAGATTATCTTAAAACTCCATATTGATTTAAGAAGACATACATTCTTATGACTTTTCTTTTTCCCATCTGGAAACAGTATATAATTCATCATGTTTTATATGCCTCATAATTTTGTTGTTGTTGTTGTTGAATTTCCATAAGTTCTCCACATTTCTTATGAAGTTGTTTCATGTGCTGTTTTGTTGCATCATAAGTAGCATGTTTTCCATTCTAACCTCCATTCTGTTATTGCTGGTGCATTGGAAAGGTTTTGATTTTTTTAATAGTAACTTGAATAATGTTTGAGTTAATTATCTTGTATTTCCATACAAGCAACTTATATGTATTGATACTTTTCACTACCAATAACTAAAGATATTTTTGTGTTTCATGTCTCCTTATCTTGGTCAATGTTTTAAAACAATGTGAAACAATAATAGTAGATGATTTTGTCATAAGCCTCATTTAAGTAAAATTTCCATCAACATTTTTCAGTAACTATAATATCTTTAATAACTTATTAAAGTTATTATATTTAAGAACTGAGAACTCATATCATGTAAGCTGAGATTGGATATAATGTAGAAAAAGTATATTTATCCATGCTTATATTAAAAATAATTTATTTCCTCATATCAATAATGAAATAATCCTCCATGGTTATCATAAATTCTTCTACTAATGTACTATATGTAAATAATTAATTTAGAGTTTCTGTAACTGCATTTGTAAGTTTTATTGGTCTATAATTATAAGTCGTATTAATTATGGTTTGCTTTTCAATGTGTTATTAGCTTCCTAAAATAATTTGGTAATCTTTTTACATTTTTTTAAGTAGCGAAATACTTGAAATTACACTGAGATTACTTTTTGAAATTACAATTCTAAAAGAAATACGTAATAAAATTATGAGACCCTAGTGAGTATTTGATTATTTTTCAGTCTTTCCAATAGGGAGGGATTGGACATTTTTGTTTTCTAAGGTGTTTTGAATCACTTCTCATTAGTTAAAGGTTCCTGTAAAAGTAACTTTTTTATTAAGATTCTTGGATTATTAGCATAGATTTTTACATAAAAATTCATATACTTTTAAAATGATCACTCTGTTGAAATATAGCTTTTTTATTCAAATACTACATATTTGTGCTTTTGCTATTTTTTCCCTGAATTGAAAGAGCAAGCTTTTTACCTAGTTAATTCATTATGTTTTTTATTATCCCACAGAACCAACTGTTCAATTTATTTTTCAAATGTCCTTTTTCCATACAGCAAATCAATTAATTTTGATATTTCTCCCTGCTTATTGTGCTATTTTATAGAAGTGTAAAGTGGACATTTAGAAGAATGACATTCACTTTTGTTAATGAATAATGAAAGGACTTAGGGCTGGACATTTACCTGTGAGCATAGCTTTGGAGATACTATACAAATGTTGATAAAAAGAATTCTTAACAGTTGCTGCACAGTAAGGAAGACTTCTCCTCTCATTTATTCATGTTATTTATAATTCAAAGTGTATTTTTCTTAATTTGTTTCCTTTTTTAAATTTTTATTAATGTTTTCCAGTAACATGTTTCAGTGACATTGAGGCCAGAGGGTCTTATATTCATTTTCATATTTTTATAATATTTTAGTGGATTGCTCATAGTCTAAAAAATGATTTTTAAAGTAACTGTCACATCAGTACTTTAAAAGATATATTCTATGCTTGTAGGTTATACACTTCTGGGTAATGACTTTAACTGTACATTATTAACTATTGTATTCTTTTTAAATGAATCAAATTTTAAAATATTTTATCTTTTCTAGTTTTCATGAATGTATTTCTTTTAAAGCTGCTTATCTGTTAAAGAGCTGGATGTTTCTATCCACTTAGCCTTGTATGCATAATAGGCTTTGGTTTAGCTATTTCAGAAAAAAAAAAAAACTATTTCATGCATACAGATTTATCTTCATTAGGGGGTTGTTATTATTTTTCAATAGATAACTACTCTTTTTATCCAAAGTAATCCAAAGTTTAAACAATGATGAATTCGGTCTTATTTCTGTCATATTGTTTTATGACTTTTTGTTTAAAAATTTTTACACTTGTGCTATTCTTTTGTCTCTTGCTATATATATTAAGTTGTTAATTTTTTAAAATACTAGTGATTTTGAAAGAATAAGAAGTGTTTTAAGTAGAACTAGTCATGACAGTTTGATTTGCAAAAAACTCAAGCCAATATTCTAAAATTATAAAAGTTATGAAGAAAATATTGTTTTTTGTCTTCATCATTTCAGGTAAGTCACCTTAGTTTTTTTTAATTTCATTTTGAGGTTTTAGATGTAGATCTCTGTTCTAAAGGGATGTGTACATCATTTAAATTTCAAGAATAAGTTTAATATTTGAAGTCTAATTTGTTACCAAAGCTTAAATAATTACAAAGATATCTTTACCTCTTTTTAATGCTCAAGACTAGACTTTTTTATATCATGACTTTCTAAGTTACTACTTTTCAATTCTTTTCTTTGCTAGCTGGGATTTTTATTATTTTTTGAGTTGAAAATATGGGATTATATTACCTCTCCTTGTGTTTGTAGGAATATTTTATTGGGTACATATTTATTTTGTTGAAGCCTTTCTTCTTAAATCTCTATTGACATCACTCTAAGGATTTTTGTTTGTCTCTGTGGTGTTTGTTTTGGCATTTTACTTTGAGCAGGAGAAATATGAGAATACCTTGGCTTTTGTTCATTTAAAAGGTATCCCTTTTTTATACCTCTATTTTTAAGCACTTTTTGTTCCAAAGAAGAGGATGCCTTTTTTTTCACCTATAGACCCAACTGGAATTTTAGTGCAAGTAACTTTTTATCACTTACACACCTCAGTATTTCTTTCTTTTTTTTCTTCTCTGCATATACCTGTTTTTCATAGGTTG